ATGTACATGTACATGTACATGTACATGTACATGTACATGTACATGTAGGTGTAGAACGTCAGTACCGTTGGTCATGCAGTGTCGTGCAATGTTATCGCATGAGCTGATTGTTTAGTAACTGGTGGTGTTAGTGGACATTATACTAGCGAAACGTGTAGTTCCTTGGTCCTTTTTTTCTTTTCTATAAATATACCGGTACATGTACATTATATCTGTACTATTATGTATGTAGATCCGATTGCAATTTTTCTAGAATCTCCCCGGTGTATGCTGGTGGTAGGGTCAATGTTTGTTAGAGAGCAGGTAGATTAGCCACAACAAAGTACATTGTATTGTATATTGTATTGTATTGTATTGTATTTATTTAAAAGGATTCTCCAAAAGCAAATGGATGCTTATCACGGAAGTCTCCCACATAAATATCGCAAGAAAAATGGGGAAATGGGGAGAGGAGAGTGGAAGATGAAGCATGGGAAGAAGGGAAACAAGTACCTAAATATCGAGGTATAAAAGCAGGAAAGAAATCGACGAGGGAAGAAATCACCTCTGCAGATAATAGCGGGACATTTAGATGAAAAAACCCAGCAAGGATTAATTTCAAGGAAAAAAAATTCTCAAACGGAAAAGTTCGGAATTCCAGTCAGAGAATATCTATGCTGAGAGTAATGAGCCTTTAGAGCAATGCGAAAATTGACAGAGGACTGAACGCAGCGGATGTGTTCTGGAAGTTTGTTCCATTCCACAGATAAACTGAAGAGAGGGGATTTAAGGAAATGGGCGCCAGTTGTAAGTATTTTCACAACCCACACTGACCGCAGGCATCTCTATTCCTGGTGGTCCTGTTATGCAACTGAGTCCATTGCCTCCTTTCACTGTTGTGTCGTGTGTTGACACGGCCCGGTGTACAAATCCAATGCCTATGTTACATGTATAATGCAGTATGTAGGGCACTAGGCATCACGAACACACCTCTCTAGCTGCATCATGTGCATGATCAAATGCCAAGCTTCATACACATAATGGTACACTATGATGATTGTAATGTAGTGCAACAAAACTAAAAATAATAGACCGAATTCAGTAAACTTGATCTGTTCCGGAATTCCTGCATCCTAAAGAAGCGATCGGATAGCTCAGTTGGACCGTCGATGCGTCCTCATGGCTGTCGCAAAACATCAAGGGTAAGAAAAAAGGTCTAAGAACGTGCAGCCTGCAGGATAGGCGCGTGTAGGCGGGCGACATTGGGGAATGTGCATCACGCTTCTCTCCAGCTGAGAGCTGCTGGAAGACCACCCGACTGGTGCATGTGGACGGCCTCAGACTCGTGGTTACACAATGCACCGGCATCAGCATTGGCTTATCACCAGTGCCACTGCCAGTGGGCCAACGACGTGAAGCATCAGCCGCCCTCGGCATGCGTTGGGAGGTGAAGCGAAGCTGATCAGGGTCAAGCCTGCCCTCTTGGAGTCTTGGTAATAGCAATGTTGACAGTTTGCCAGGGTGTCAATGACGTAGCGCACTGCTGTCAGCACTGCGGCTGTGTAGACAATCACGAGATCCGCAATAGTCATTCTTGACAGCTGCTGCCAAACCAACACGACTGCCAGCACTAGCAGAAACCTGTGAGGTTTGCGACAGCACCCCGTTGACAGGACTGGGACTGAAGGAATTCTCAGCACCAGGACTGTCTGTAGATATCTACTATGAGCTGCGGCTTGAAAGTCGCAAACTGGCATCCAGCAGACTTGCAAGAACAGAACAAGATAGTTATGCTGCCATCTGCTAGCCACATACTGTTTATTTCCGTGTTCTGCCGGTTCACAATGCTCAATGGTCAAAGCACCTTCTACATGTACCGGGCACTTGATCACCCCTTCGATCTCCGATCTCCATCCCAGACTGACTGGATGCCACGAGTCGATGGTATAGTCAGTCTACCAAGTATGCCTACCATTGAGTACGATTATGCCGGTCTACAGCAAATGAAGCATACTTGCAATGCAGGGGCAGGGAGTCGTATCACCTACATGTACATGTAGATCTACGACTTGTGACCTCTTCTATTTTTTTCGAGAGAGACGACCCGGGCTGCCGATTCCATCCGCGTTCGGAGTCAGCAGATCAATAATAATAATAATCTTTATCACTCCCTTAGTATTGACTCACATAGATTTTTGCAATAATAATAATAATAAAGGTTTGCTCCCCACACCGGAGCTCGCGCTATTCCGCCGACTTTACTTGACACTTGACTGACTCACGACTGCCATCCAGAGCACACGAGAAGTCCATCGAACCTTCGACTCGGCAAACCTGCAAGAAAGCACCACTCCCTGCTCAATACACAGTGTTTCGGGGAATTCACCCCTCATCAGTTGAGCTTGAGTAGGCTGAGGAAGATTGTGCCTGAAGAGCACCACTTATATAGTGCTCTCCAGGCACAAACATCACCAGGGATACAAACTTACAGAGACGCTCCGCTTCCAGCGCGATAAACACCTCGTGAACACCAGATAGCAGCGTGAGTCAGTGTCGCTCCTGGACGGTGAGACAGACGTCGAGGACCCTCGGTCATTCGCAACGCTGTCACCTCCAAACCAACTAGTCGCAAGCCCGCGCTGGGCACAACAGTACGAAGTAGTGGTTGCGACTTCGGCGATGATTTGTAAGAAAGGTTTGCTCCCCACACCGGAGCTCGCGCTATTCCGCCGACTTTACTTGACACTTGACTGACTCACGACTGCCATCCAGAGCACACGAGAAGTCCATCGAACCTTCGACTCGGCAAACCTGCAAGAAAGCACCACTCCCTGCTCAATACACAGTGTTTCGGGGAATTCACCCCTCATCAGTTGAGCATCAGTTGAGTCGAAGGTTCGATGGACTTCTCGTGTGCTCTGGATGGCAGTCGTGAGTCAGTCAAGTGTCAAGTAAAGTCGGCGGAATAGCGCGAGCTCCGGTGTGGGGAGCAAACCTTTCTTACAAATCATCGCCGAAGTCGCAACCACTACTTCGTACTGTTGTGCCGAGCGCGGGCTTGCGACTAGTTGGTTTGGAGGTGACAGCGTTGCGAATGACCGAGGGTCCTCGACGTCTGTCTCACCGTCCAGGAGCGACACTGACTCACGCTGCTATCTGGTGTTCACGAGGTGTTTATCGCGCTGGAAGCGGAGCGTCTCTGTAAGTTTGTATCCCTGGTGATGTTTGTGCCTGGAGAGCACTATATAAGTGGTGCTCTTCAGGCACAATCTTCCTCAGCCTACTCAAGCTCAACTGATGAGGGGTGAATTCCCCGAAACACTGTGTATTGAGCAGGGAGTGGTGCTTTCTTGCAGGTTTGCCGAGTCGAAGGTTCGATGGACTTCTCGTGTGCTCTGGATGGCAGTCGTGAGTCAGTCAAGTGTCAAGTAAAGTCGGCGGAATAGCGCGAGCTCCGGTGTGGGGAGCAAACCTTTCTTACAAATCATCGCCGAAGTCGCAACCACTACTTCGTAATAATAATAATAATAATAATAATACCACAGCACGCGTACAAAGGCCAAAGAACAATGCATGAGAATACACTGAAATTAAGCCAAGTCCGCTTCTGTCTCCAGTCAACAAAAAACTCATCCATAAACAATGTCTGATCTCCATTTCGACTTGTCTGCAGCAAATGCTCGTGCTCCTTCTAGGTCGCTGGCATTCTTCAAAGGAATGTCGTGCCCTGCCAGGTCCTTCATGATGGTGGTAGGGAGAGTAGCCGCGGGACGGGGGGGGGGGGGGGGGGGTAGATTTTTGCCATACCTAATAATAATATCTTTATTAGGATGACCCAGAGGCTTGTCGCCTATCAAGGTAAGCAGTCAAATATTCCTGCATATTTGACTCCTTAGGGCTATATTGACCGCTTATATTTGACTCCTTTTTAGCGATTGAACACATGCTTTGGTTAGTCGTGATAAATCTAATATTGACTTCGTACTTGGTCAGTATAGGAAATAAAAGACCTCGTAAAAAACCTCGGCTTCGCCTCGGTCTTTTACTCGGCCTTTATTTCCTATATTGACCTCGTTCTCAGTCAATATTAGATACTTATTTCAGGATTACCCAAAGCCAAAGGCTTACGGCTAAGGCCGCAATCGCGATTACAAATACATGTACATGTACTTGAAATAGACCATGGACTGGCAGAGCACCTAAAATCAAGTCGAACTAACTAACCAAATCCGGGTTCAAACCGCACATCATTTTGGGGATACAGTCAGTAGATCTAAATAAGGCATGACTGTAAGAGTTGGTGGACAAGCCACTGGCTAGCCGCTCTCATTGTAGATTCTACTAGTCCGAGTAGTCGTGTTGTCCCCCAACATTGGCAACAAGTGCCAAGAATTTGAAGAAATAGGTAGCAAGACCACAACTCGCAACAAAGATTAGAGTGCTGGCTACCAGTGGCTGGGGCAAGTAGTGCCAAGTACTAGTAACTACATGACATACTTACTATAAGTTTTAGTTGAGGGTCTCACAACAACGAATACTACAAAATTATTATTATTATTGTTGTTGTTGTCGAACTGCGAGTCGAGTGCAGCAGCTAGCTTAGCTGGCGATCGTGTGACATGGTGACTGTGACTCTGTGAGTGTGACACGTAACTCGTTCAGCACACCTACAACATGATTGTATACAGGCTACACAGGCATACAGTGCAGTCTACACTACACCGTCACTGAGTCCATGCATGCATGGAGTCAGATGAGTCGATCGAGTCTGTGAAGACGGGTTTTCCGGGTTTGTTCCAGTCTGGCCTGGTGTGTTCTAAATAAAGTCGCTCGTGTTTGCTGGGATAATTTTCCTGATTTGAGGGAGTGCGTGGTAAACCCTGCAGTACTGGAATTGGCGAAGTGGCGGGAAATATGAACTTTGCAGGATTTCGTCCGGGGCGACGCTGTAGCTGCGCGATCTGAGCTTCGCGATCGATCAGTGATAATATTTTCGCTGCTCGTGCGACGAACTTCACTCAGCTGAAGTTCAGGTTGCAGCTGTATTTCCTGCGTTGAGGTCGTGGAGCGGAGAGATCCATGTGGTTCATGTGTGTCTTGTTCCTCGGGTGGCAGTAATTACGAGGGATTTCAGGCTCTTACCTAAGGTTCCACTTATAGAGCACCAGTAACCTTGTCCGTTTAGGGAAACAGTTGCTTCCAACTTACTATTTGTGTTGCCTAAATCTGACGATATTGGCTCACTCCGTCACCACGCGGTGCTCGACATCTATGCATGCTTTCGGGTCCGATGCTGGTTTATCGCTGTTGAGCCTGCTCTACTACGTGTAGAGCGGGTGGCTGTGGCCTCCGGTCATGAACATGGCGGAGGATTCAACTAGCCATCCATTTGCCTTTTCAACGCCCACTCCCAACAACGATCTTCATAGTCGGAAACCCACGGTATGGTGAACGACGTACATTTGTTCAATCTTCAAATCTGGAAAATTTATCGGACATTCTTTTGATTTGCATTTCTGTAGTCAAAGCGGAGGCTGCAGCTCTCTGGCGAGAGGAGTTCTCCCTATCCCAATTCTTCACAAAGAAGTAGGAAATTCTCGTCCGGCAGTAGTCCAGATTTCTTGGATTTCGACTCTTCTTGTAAGTTTACACAGGTGTTGGACATTGTCGTACCACTACTAACTCTGTCTTACTGAATGCACTAGTATCACGGTGTGTTTTGAGGTCAGGGTATGAACCTTGTGCAGCGTGCTGTAGATCTACCGATGATATTATTGTTGTGCATTTGCTGTCTGCATTGTTTCCTTGGCTGGCAGTATGCGATACCGGAGAAAGTAAGCGATCGGATACATCGTTGGGTCTTCTCACGCAACGTTTCGTTGGACTCCTACGAGGGGCAGAGGATGGAGTTGTAGACCTGAATCGGGCCGCGTTGTCGCTGAACGTACAGAAACGAAGAATATACGACATAACCAATGTGTTAGAAGGAATCAACCTCATCGAAAAGAAATCTAAGAACAACGTTCAGTGGAGGTAAGCAACGCACTCACTCCCGGCCAGGCATGGGTACTTGTCTTTCCGTGAATCGCATCGGCTTGTCAGGCTTGTTATGTGCAGCACGTGGGAGCACATGCATGGTATGAATGGTGTCTCAAACTGCAATCTGCATGATTGAATCCTGCTGAGGAGGCCTGGGGCCAAGGACAAGCCAGGCTGGTCGGAAGTACACGTAGCTAGTGATGGAGACTTGTTTTGTTCTCAAACACCGTGCACAAGGGGGAGAGAAGTCATGCTGTTCAGTGTAGATTGCATTATTATGTGACTATGTGTACAGCTTTGTCAAAGGGACGTGTTGCTATTTTTCAAGTCGATCCCCTGGTGCACTAGGCAAAACCTGTGTCTGTGTGGCAGTAGGAGCTTTCTGGGGATTGTGGTCCTTCTATTTTTAGGATCGGATGAGGTGTGTGTGTGTGTGTGTGTGTGTGTGTGTGTGTGTGTGTGTGTGTGTGTGTGTGTGTGTGTGTGTGTGTGTGTGTGTGTGTGTGTGTGAAAAAGTCACTTCAATCAGCTGTGTGGTGGATACCAGGCTAAAAATAGTGGCGGTCAATTCATCAGCCTTGCAAGCTGTTGAATGGTGTAATCCCAGCACAAGTTGCTATGTCTAACATAGCTGTTCACTATCATCGCTTCCACGATGGGCAGGTCTGAGGTCTGAGGTGTGTGTGTGTGTGTGTGTGTGCTGTGGGGGGGGGGGGGGGGGGGCAGCCTGAGTTCCAATCAAAGCCAATTTTTGAGCACATCTTCCTCAGTGGCAACCCATAACAAACCCTAAACAAGCAATAATGTCATTCTTACTCTGGAGATATACCGAGACTCAAGCATAAACGACCTAAAAAAAAAAGGATGTGCAACTACGACCTTTCCTTTAAGGGCATGCGTTCGGGAAGAAAGGATTACATACACCGATTGCTTTATCTCGGAGTATGCTGTACTTATTAAAAAAAAGTAAATTATCGTGTCCGTTCCCGAAGGGAACTCACGACGGCCGCTTAAAGGGGAAGTTAAGGCAAAAATTAAAATTTCACCAGTTGTAGTCTTCGGGGTGCTGAGTCGAATGGTCTTGGTCCGAGGAAGCTGAGACGCTCCCTTCCTACTTGAATCCCAATCGAACTTGCGCACTTCCACCGAAACTGGGTGACTGCGCCCTACTAGATGGGGATTTGTATGCAAAATGTCACTAAAAGCGCCATTTCGTTCTTATAAAAGCACGGATGACCGCGATTGGCCCATATGTTGTAGTCTTTTGGACGCTGAGTCGACTGGTTTTGGTCCGAAAAGGCTGCGATGCAGCGTTCCTCCTTTATTCCCAATCGAACATGGTTGAAGAAGCGGTCACGTGCTCCTGGGTGCCACAAATCACCTGGTCACCACGCCAGCAGGCGACAACTTTCACACCAAGGTTCAACTCGAGTTCAACTCTTGTGACAGGACTGCACCCAAAAAAGGTCAAACAGGCTAGTAAGTTGTACCCTGCAGGCACGGTGACCAGGTGACTGGTGTACGCAGGAGCACGTGACCACTTGTTCGACCATGTTCGATTGGGAATAAAGGAGGAACGCTGCATCGCAGCCTTTTCGGACCAAAACCAGTCGACTCAGCGTCCAAAAGACTACAACATATGGGCCAATTGCGGTCATCCGTGCTTTTATAAGAACGAAATGGCGCTTTTAGTGACATTTTGCATACAAATCCCCATCTAGTAGGGCGCAGTCACCCAGTTTCGGTGGAAGTGCGCGAGTTCGATTGGGATTCAAGTAGGAAGGGAGCGTCTCAGCTTCCTCGGACCAAGACCATTCGACTCAGCACCCCGAAGACTGGTGAAATTTTAATTTTTGCCTTAACTTCCCCTTTAACACTCGGTAAACCCTAGCGGCAGATGCAACGCCTTACGGTGGGGGTGAGTGGATAAGTCTCACAACCACTGGCACAAGTGCCGAGAAACCCCATTAGCCGCATCCATGAACCCCTTGTGCCTGGCCACAAGTTCCCAGTTGACTGTGGGTAGCAGCACGGCTGGAAAACCTCTCCCAGGCAACCGCTCCCAGGCAACCGCTCCCAGGCAGGACTTAGCAGTACTTGAGTACATACAGTAAAACCTGTAATGGCCACCACTCGGATATGGCCACCACTCGGATATGGCCACCACTCGGATATGGCGACCACTCGACCATGGCGACCACTTTTCCTTGTCACGGACGCATTCACATTCAAAACACCTCGGATAAGGCGACCACTCGCTCAACGCGACCACCCACCCGCGACCACGTTGCACAGTGCTAGCCATGTAACTGTATGCATTGCATGGTGCACCAGGCCTGGTAGATCTACACATCAGTGCTGGAAGTGTAGATGTACATGGTGCATGCACGCCATTTGACAGGTCTGAGGACCCCAGGCACATGAGTCGTGCTAGAGTAGCATCGGGGTGTGCACTGTGCAGCACTGATCAAAATGATGTATCACATGTGGATATGGTCACGTGACCCACTGAACCTGGATAAGAAGACCACCTGGCCACGGCGACCACTTTTTCTCGTCCCTTGAGGGGTCGCCTTAGACAGGTTTCACTGTAGTAGCTAAGTCGCACTGTCTGCATAGTCAACCCCAGCACAATTGGGACTGAGCAAGTCATTGAAGGTGACAAAATGCACACCTTTTCCTGTCACCTTTGCTCTTAATTGGATCCTTGTACCACCCAGCACAGGCGCGTACGCAGGGGGTTTCCCCGGAACCCCCCCCCCCCCCCCCCCCCCCCCCCCCCACTGTTCCGAACGTACGTTTTGGGCATTTTTTGGTAGGGCGTGCGATCGATCTGACAAGAATGCAAAACTTTAACAGATCGTAACTCAGTCAAATCTCGATCAAATCCAAAGATCCAAAATATCAAAGTTGAAGGGAAAACTCTCAGCTGTCGGTAGAATCAATTCGCGAAGCGCTGCGAGCAATGGTTCTTGAGTGACATCGGCAATTTCAAAAGCGCGCCGTGCGACTGAGTATTGAGAATTGCGACTTTTCGTCACGCTGATTTGCAAAAATTTGCATGAGTTTCACTTGTGATATTCCCAAGAGTACACAGTGAAAAATCGAAACTCTGCGATCGAGAAACAATGAAATAGAGAGGTGACCCTGCTGCGGCAAACAAATTGACTGTGCAGGGGTTGGTTGTTGCTGGGGAGTCGATCCAGGCGCCTGTTTGTAGGACAAGGAACGCTTTTACAGGCTTCACAAGCGCAGCGCAGTGCTTCGATTTCGAAATGGTGCATCCACGTGTGCTCGTATGCGTCGTTGCGTGTTCTTGCTTTCACTGTGGTTGTAGGCACTTCAGCGGGTTTTTTTCAGAATGTGAAAACCAGCTATTTCACTTGGGGATCCGACAAAGCCGTTCGTTTTGACCATGCACAAAATATTTCAGTAGGAAATTCCCCTCCATACCGAAGATATAAACGTTCAAAGACAGACAGTTTCATGAGGTGAATTTAGTACAATTCGTGGTATTTTGGGTACCTCTGAAGTATTTCAGTGGCCATAGTTACAAAAATTAAAGTGCAAGATATACTTGTAAACAGCACTCTAAAGCAGAGCGAATGTCTCAGTTACACATCATACCAACGGAAAATGGAAATGAACAATGTTTTGGCGACCCCGATCACGGTTGCCATGGACACCGCATAGCAACCGCATTGCAACAGCTTCAAAGCATTGTAGAAGTGCTGTGTATGGCTTTCAGACGAACATTAGACGTTATAAAACACGTCTGGGTGGAATTTGCATTCAACATGCAGGCAAACAAGTGTAATTGCAGCAACAGACTACGAAGTAACGTCAGTTCCAAGAAAATGGATGTACTGAAATCACGAGAACAAGGTTACCAGGTTGTCCAGCATCTCATCAATTGACAACTGCTTTCCGCCTGTGGAGAGTGAGTATATAGACGTTGAGGCGTTCTGGAGCAACATGTACTTGCGAAAGTACAGCTGCGAACGTAGGGCCTGGCGCTTGTCCGTAAGTCGAGACACTTTCGACAGTTCTTCCGTCGCCATTTCCTTAGATGTCCACATCCCTCCAAGAGCAGTGATTTCGGTTGTCAGCGTTTCTTTTCGTTTTCTCTCTTGTTCTCTCTTCTTGTTGATGTCTGCCTCCTTCTCTTTCAAGCGCTGAAGCCGAACTTTCTGGATTTCCTTCTGGCGTATCTTGAACTGCTGCCGAAACTCTGGTGCTGCACGACGGGCCGTCTCCACCATTGCATCTCTTTCCTGTGCTGATTTCTGCTGAAGCCAGGCTGCTGTCTTGTTGTTGCTGAACATGAGCAAGCCTTCCAGAGCAACAGTGTCGATGTTCGGCTTCTCACGCAGATACCGGTCCAGTTTGCCGAAATCGCTCTCCGAAATTGCATTCGTCTTACGAACTGAAGCGGTTTCCGTGAGTAAAGCTGCTGTGGGTTGGTAAAGTTGCCGCCAGGCAGGTGCTCAGCGAGTAGACGGGTTGAGTAAATGTGAAATCCTGCAAAGAGCATCTGCAATATTTCGCGGGTCACGCCATCTGTGTCCACGGGCTCCAGCAGCTTACTCAGCACTGGGTCTGTAGTGTCTCAGATAGAGACGGGGTTCGGTTTATTCTATGATCGATTACATGGAGACTAGAAGAAGACCAACTACAATTGCAAGTAAATTATGTCAACGGAACAAGCACAAGGAGACATGTGTGTCAATACAAAAGGCAGACATACTAAAATGATCTGCGCATGGTGTGACGTCAATACGATAATGATGACGTAAGAAATGTCCCTGAGTGTATCATCAGCACATACACTACATTTCCTCCCCTACATGTATAGTAGGGTTGCAAACGCGTATATACATTTAATACACAAGAGAAAGTCAATGGATAAGCCGAGAGCACAGTAATTCAGTAACCACGCGAGCAACAGATTATCAGAGCATTCAGGAGAATGTTTTACTCTCTCAGGCGAGCTG